GATCACTGAGATCGCTGCCTGTTTTTGCAGGTGTAGCTTTTGCTCCATGGCTTCTGAGGGCGTCAGCTGTGCTGTAGTGAGGTCGTGATCCATCAGGAGACCGGGTATGCGTGGTTGCATGCCCATAGCCCATTGTGTCGGACTGAAGCCTTGGACATTGGTGGTGTTGTTGATCTGGGGGATCACGTAGCATAGTGCCTGTGTGATCCGCTCACGGGTACTCACGCGCTGATCGAAGTCTTGTCTCTCTTGTTGTGCTGCTGTGAAGAGTTCGATGCCTCGTCGTAGGACTTGATGTCTTCGCTCAAGCACGCTTAGCCGTGTGTGTGCTTGGCCTGGTGAGATCTCCAGTTGTATGCCGAGGTCGCTGGTCCATGTTCTTGTGGTATCTGAGCTCCATCCTCTGTGATCGTCGACTTGAAGGAGTGTTGGTGGACCAAAGTGTCTGATCCATCCTCGTTCAAGTCCTCGGATGAAGTCATCCGATTGTTCAGAGTCAATGACCCGAGCGGACATGAACTTGGTAGTGGCGTCGATCATGCTGAGGACTGGAACTGCTTGTGGCTTGTGGCCATTGTGTAGTCCCGGTAGGTGTATCCAGACTGTGTCTGCTTGTACTCTGCTGTTGAAACTGCCTCCTGTTCGGAGTGTGCTCTTGGCCACTTGTGGTGGTGGTCGGTGTGCATCACATAGTTGGCAGTGATGCTGTTGCGCAGCTGCCACAATCGAAGGACTGGCATTCTTGCTCTTGAGGAGCTTGGCCAGCTCGAGATTAGTGGGGTGCCCAAGGTTCCGGTGGATCCTCTGGACTGTTCTCTGAGCTGCTGACCATTGCGTCTCTTGCAATCTGGTTAGTATGCCTCGATTGTTGTCAAACTGTTCGTCGTTGTCATAGACTTGTGGCTGTTGTTCTGCCACTGCCTGTTGTGGCTGTAATGCCACTTGCTGTTCTGCCGGTTGTTCTGCATCATGTTCTGCCGGATATGCTTCTTCGGTGGGTGGCCAGTACTCAGTGAGCATGAAGGTGTTCATGATCTGGGCCCACTCTCTGCACATGTCTGTGTTGTAGCTGCCAGCTGCTGCGGCTCTGTTGCCAATGTGTGGGGAGCTACCCTCAATAGGGAGGTGGTAGTGATTGCTGTGGCAGACTCGCTCGAACATAGTAGCCAGGGTGCTGTCTGTGATGCGTAGGTTCGTTGGCTTCTTGATGTATTGTTCGTAGCCATTGGAGTCTGGCAAGGTTGCTCCATATTGGCATTGGTCCACATGTGCATCATAGCCTTCTAGCTGTTGTAGAGTTGGTGTGTCCCAAGATGTTGCGTACTTGGGGTGTTCGAAGATGGAAATTCGCTTTTGCTTGTGTTGCTTGTTGTGGATTGTCTTGCTGAACCGCAAGTGGGTTCCTTCCTCATGCTGCTGCTGTGCTTCCAGTCGTTGCTGGTCTGCCGGTGTTTTAGCGTTCAATCGCTGCAGTGGGGACCATTTGGTGCAAGGTGGTGCAATCCAAACAATCTCTGGGCTCTGGTGGTAGTACAAGTGGATGAACTGCCTCTGGTGGCTGGGTTTGGTGAAGTCCCATCCGCTGAGGATGTCGAAGGTGCGGACTTTGTATCCCAGTTCTTCCATGTGTGTTGCTAGCACTGCGTCACCAGCATAGACTTCCCAGAATTGCATCTGGTGGCTGTCATGTGCCGTGAGTGTTGTCTCGAGGGTGTGCTTGTAATGTCGTGCCAGCTGTTGTTGATGTAGTCGGAAGCTGCGGACCAGTTTGTCCGTCAAAGTTCTGCGATAGCAGGTGTCATCATCATCTTCTTCTGGGTCTGTGGTGTCGTTTGTGTCTTCCTCATTGAAGTTGTCGTCCTCATTGGCCTGCATGCCGTGTTCTCCCAAGTCGGGAGGTGCTAGGCCTGTGAGCTCAATGTAGTGCTGAAGCGTGTAGTGCTCTGCTTGTGCAGGGTCTTGCGTCAGCAGGTTGTAGGTCTCTTCCATCATGTAGTCAAACTCATAGCTGCTGTGGTCCGGTAGGTCGGTCAGCCAGCTGTAGGAGATGTTCTCCTCTGGAGCCGGTGATGATTGGTGACCATGGGCCTTCATCAACTCGCATGGTATCTTCCATGAAGTTGAGCTGGAGTTTCATGGCCTTGAGAATTGGCCTGCCGATCAGGAGAGGAGTTGATCCAGGAACAACGAAGGCCTGCGTGCGGCCGAGGTGCCCTTGGATGCATACTGGCATGTGTACTGTCCATTGTGCTTCGAGGCTGTTGTCTCCGCCAAACTGCAGTATCTTTTGCGCAGGACGGAAGTGGAAGCTTGAAACATCGAACCCTTGTTCGTGGTAGCTTTCGATGTAGTTCATGAGGATGTCATGGCCAAGGACCATGCAGCTTGCTCCACCATCCATGGTGCCGAAGAGTCCCTTTGGGATGCGCTGGTAGTCCTTCATTTCGAATTGGACCATCACGGCGTTTTCGGCTTTGGCCTTTTTGGCGGCATTGGTGGGGCTGTTGGTGGTGCTTCTCTTTTGAGTGCACTGTGCTGCAAAGTGTCCAGGTTGTCCACATCGTAGGCATGTCTTGGCTTGGTTCAAGGCTGTGCGGCCTGGACTCTTGGCATCACCTTTCTGTGGAGGTGACTTGAAGCCCTGCCCTTTTCCTTTTCCTTTTCCTCCCTTGGAGCGAGGAGGATATGGCCTTTGAGATGATGTTGGACTTGATGAAGTTGCGCCATCGGTCAGTGCGACCACTGGATAGAAGCCTCTGTTGTTGCGCAGCTCAGCAAAGCGGCGCCTAGCATCCAGGTAGGTGGCATAGGCTTCCTCATACTCAGGGTCTTCTTGATCCGGGTAGTCCTCATCGTAGCCGGTGTAGTTGGCTGTTTCATCGCCGAACTCTTCATCATATGCTTCATCAGCATACTCTTCTTGAGTTTCCTCATAGTAAGCCTCATCATACTCAGGCTCATAGGTCTCTTCAGGGTCGTCCATGTAGTCGTCCTCGTGCATGGTGTAGGCCTGAGCTGGTTTCTTCCATTTGTTGAAGCCTTTTCCTTTTCCCCCAACTGGTCGCTGGGAGAGTCCAACCTTTCCCCTGTAGTCCTGGCCGTACAGGTAGTACATGGCTTCTTCAACTTTACTTTCTTCGAGGCTGGAACCACATTGGCTTTGCACCAAGTGTTTCTGGTCTTGTGAGAGACCGCTTCTTCTCAGCATCAGCCAGCCAGTGATCTCGGTCGGCAATTTGCTGCCGTGTTTTTCGACTTCTCGGAGCGCTTCTCGATGTTCAGCGCAATACGACATCAGTGTCTGGTCGTAGCGCCTGGTGAGGCTGTAGAAGAACTTCTCGAATGATCTGGCCTGTTCGACCCGTGCATCGTAGCGGAAGGTCTTGTCGAGGATTTCAATCACCTTGGTGAACCCTCCTTCTTTGTCCTCGCTTGCCGATTCAGCTATCGGCTCGACTTGCTTCCAGGCTGTTCCTGACAGGGTTGTCAGGAGGTTGATGACTCCTTCTTGTGGCTTCTTTGCAGAACCATCTTCTTCTGGTAGAGGTGAATCCGAGCTCTCCATTCCTTGTAATCTTGAGGCCTGTTGCTGAAGGTCGGCACCCAAGAATCTTTACTTGCATCCACACTCGAGGATGCTGCAGCAGTTGAACTTGCCATCGAGCTCGACCGGGAGGTAGTAGCTAGCAGCAAGCAAGCTGGAGCCCTGAGCCTTGCGGCTCCGCTACCAATTTGAGGTTGGGTAGCTCAACCGTCGGAAAGTGACTCTCGAAGTTCACGATCGCAAATGAAAAACCGCTCTCAAAAGCAGCCGCGGACTTTTCGCGGACTCGTGGCCATCAGGCTTCAAGGTGCGCATGCCCTCCCAGCTATCGGGAGGAAAACAGGTGGTTCGAGCAACAAAGCGGCAAAGCTTCGGCTTCAGTGAACCTGTGCAGCAGCGAAAACATGTGATGGCATCACATTCACAGTATATATATATATTATACATATGCGTCTATATATACATATAAATATAGTTAAGTTATCAAATCGTCTGTGTATAGGGCGTATATATGGAGTATGAGTATCCATATTTATCCATCATACGTAAGATGTTCAGCTGCCCTTCGCATCACATCGACTGGCTCACCATCTTCCCAAAGGCCTCAAGCGACAAAGGTAAGCCTGTCGAAAAGCATTCATTGGAGCCTACCGGAGTCGACTTCGGAGCCGATTCTCCTACTTGAGTCTTGAGCAGCAAGAGCCAGGGAAGGTTGAACACAAACTTGACAAACCATTTGTCGAATGTTTGAAGTTGTTTGATGGGTCCATCCAGTCGCAGGTGTTGCCAGTTTTTGACTAGTCCTGTTCCTGGGAAGCATGAATGAAGCGCTCTGAGTGCACGGCGACGGCCACTGTTTTCAGCACCCAAGTTTTTGAAGTCTTTACAACATAGCTGCAAGACCCTTGGAGGTTGACATTAGGAAAACAATCGCCTCAAAAAGGTTGTGCAAAAGTCTGCCAAGAAGACAAGCCGGGACAGATTGGCTTGTTGGGAAGACAGGTTGTTGAAACAATCATTGAAGTCATTCTGAAGTCATTCACATGCAGTGACTCTCACTGGCTGTAGTAGTCCCCAGTGGCCAGCTGCTGTTGAGCATTGCGACCAAACTTCGCGTCACGACACGCAACTTCAAGTAGTGCACTAAGAGGTACAGTGGTAGCCCACACCAAAATGCAATTTTAGTATAAACATGTCCTATGAGAGTTCAGCTGCTAAATGTGATGGCCAAAGGAGCTTTAGACACATAGTTGAGCATCTGGAACCTACTTTAGCAATGGCTTTTCACAGCGGCCTATGCCGCTGCTGTACTGTGTGGCCTTTGTGTTTGTGGCTACGCACCTCAATCTGATCATCAAAAAGCGTGCATCGCCTCCAAAAAGGACTGGCTAGGTCATCGATCCACGACCAGCCTCCGAATTAGCTCCACTCAGAAAAGCACCAAAAGGACATAGGCCTATTCTTCGAGGCCGATGTCGAAGCCCCACCAAGCACTTCGAGCACCCTCCTCCAAGGCTGAACAATCTAGAATGCGCAAGCATCTCAATTCCATCAGACTGCAAAGGATGATATATCTCTTTGTCTTCGAAACACACATCGCACAGCCTGACATCCTCCAAAACAATTGGCCGCATTCCCCGTCCTCTGGGATGGATGCCAAGTGTCTGGCTTCACTTTCCCACTGTTCGCGCAGCAAGCGGACACAGTGTGCGCGAAGCCCTGGCTCAGGCAAATAGCTGCATGAGACCACTTCGGGCGGCAGCAGGAAGCCTGGCCAGAAAACAATCCGGCAGTGCTGAGCTGCAAGGTGAAGCAGCGGCAATGGCAATAGGGGACGATCAGCCAAGAAAGAGAGAGGAAGAGAGAGAGAGAGAGAAGCGCACTGCAAAAGCAAGCATTCAAAGCAGCTCTGATCATTCACAACCTAAACAGGAAATCTACTGCCTGCTGAAGCCGCAGCGTGATAGCACAGCAAGCCGCGGCTCTCCCCTCCAACCGCTTGCGCAATTTCTTGGCGAGGGGACAACGGCAAAACTGAGCGCCATGCACAGTGGAGTTCTTTGTCGACTCGGTCTGCCGCCCACTTTACGTACAAGCGACGTCTCTGCAAATGCCAACGAGCTTTCTTTGAGAAGTTCGAGAAGCCCTCGAGCGTCTCGGTCGCCATTGGTGGCGCCATGGCCTTCTTGATCATTCGCCCCCCGAGGCGGCTGTTTCTAGGCAAAGCCATGGCCACAAAGATCGTGAGCATCATGGTGGGCGAATGCCGGATGGTCGGTCCATAGACACACATGGCGACCAGAGGACACAGCAATGGCCATGTCATGCTCAGCCATGTTGGAACTCCCAGAACATCTCTGCTATTCACAGACTTCTGAGAGTCAACGTCTTCCCGCAGTTTCGGGAGGCCATCCTGCAACATTGCTCAGGACTGTCCTCCCTTCCCGACCCTGGAGAAAATGGCCACATGAATGACAGGATGCTCCAAGGCTTCATGCATGACAAACAACCTCCAGTCCAAAAAGCAATGAGAATGATAAACCCAAATCGTGCAGACCAATCCAATCGCAAGACTTTGCGGTCCTCGCAATGAATACCATGGTCAAGAGTCTCCACAATCCTTGCCCCTTTGGCATTAGATGCACAAATTCTGCATTCTGCGTGCATCACAGCTTTGCTGTGGACCCGGCATATGAAATAGCAGAAGTGCAAACTAACTAGTGGAGCACGTCGCATGTACTGGTACACCGCAAGCCTCATGGCCGCTCCAACACACCGCTCTTTATGCTCTTTGTCATCCTGTACACAACATTGACATCCATTCTTCAAACATTGGAACCCATGGGTTCCTGATTTCACCACGCCATCTGTGTCACGATCGAAGTCACCACAGCGTCACGCTGCGCCGGCGACCTGGTTCATCGCCGACCTGTTGGTTTCATGCCACGAAAAGCGCGAGTCTCTGACCCCACAAAGGTGGCCTGACTCTGACAAGCTCTTTAGAGATCTTTTGCACCCACCTGAGATCAAAGAACTTGTAGCAAGGACGCTATGCTCGGTGGAGGCCATCGCAAGTAGCTTGGAGGCCATCGCTACTAGGAGCAAGAAGCTACTAGTAACAAGAACTTAGTTCCAAATGGTTCAAACAGATCTCTGCAATCTCGACTTTTCAGCCAAGTGGCCGCCATCAGGGCCTGAGTGATCCCCGCATCTATCATCAATCATCAGGTGTTTTATCAATAGAAATCAAATAAACAAATACATAAAAACAAAAGGTAGATTGTGATGTAAAATCGTGATGAACTGCAGTAAGAATACTTCACTTCGAGCTACAATCGCCCCATCTAACCAGGTCTGTCCCAATAAGAATGTCTATGCCAATGCGGTGGTCTTTGTCTGCCGTCGTGCCTGTCCTGCTGTGTTCTTAAGCATTATTAGGGTTAAGGTTAGGGTCATGGTCATCAGTGGTGTTGCCATTTTTCGGTGCTCACATCTCCAACGTGTTGCCAATACTAGCAGGCCCTTGCATCCGAAGCAAGGGCTCCGAAGTTCCCGGAAGCGGCTCAGCTGATCATCTACGATAGCCTACGTCTTCCTTGTCAAGGAAAATAGAAATGTCTTACCAGTACTATGTATCTATATAGCAGTGAGTGATATGATAACACAACATTGCACAACGTCCTTCAAGGCAAAGACAAACATAGTTGATTTTAAAAAATGATAAATATGTTTTCTTTGATGCAAATCAATGTGTTCTATCTTCGGTTTGTTTGTTAGAAATCCTTGTTTTTCTTCGTGGATATGTTCTTCTTTTGAATAAGATGTCCCGGCGCCGGTCAAGCCACTGGTGTGACCACCGGGTCGGGCCACTGGCGGGATGTCTGGTGCTTATGTTTGGTGTGGCTCTTGTGTGTGTGTTGTTCGTATCATTTCTTCTTGTCTCTTGTCTTGTCATTGGACTTCATTGGACCAGCCAGGTCAAATAGGTCCAAAATAGCGGAGGTCACGATGTTTCTATATGTTTCTCTCCTCATGTCCTGGCTACCCCTCTTGACTCCGGCAGTGGGAGAAGGAGAAAAAGAAGCACTGACGCCGTCCACTCCTCGCTGTTTGCGACGCGCCTGGGGATCGATCCCGTGGACCTTCCAGCTCAGGACCAGGACCAGCCTGGCAAAGCCCAAAGAATCCTGTGTCACTATGGACACACTTGACATTTGTCAATTGAAAAAACCATGGAAGGAGAGGAACTCACAGAGTCCGAAAGAAGGCGTCATATGTGTTCTTCAGTATCATTCGGCAGCATTGAGTTCTGTGGCTCACACCCGCCCCACGGACCTGCAGTCGCATGGCGCACGTCTTTTTCAGTGCCCGTTGTCCCAAGAAAGGTTGAAGGACTGAGTGTAAGGCGCATGAGCCCCAAAGGTGGTGGAAGCACCAAAAGTACCAGAAGCAGCCAATGCGGCACCTGACGAAGGTGTTAGATGGTCTTGGATTGGTGTTGGGGGATGCTTGACCTATGCTGACATGGCAATCAGAGGGCGAGCCTGGCCCAAGGGACTCCTGATGGATGAGGAGTCTTCTGGGAGTTGGCATGCAAAGAATTGCAGAGAGGTCTTCTTCTGTGCAAATCGGCAATGATTTGCGACAGAAGCACTCGATGAGCTCTATAACCAGTTGACATATGTGGCCGAAGCGAACAAGTCAAGAGTTCATGCACCAAGAACGAAAAGGTGACGAACTTCCAGCAAGTCCTCCCCGGCTGGCACCATTGGTCCATGCGCAAAGGATGGTGTCGCCCTTAGGGTAGGTTACAATCACCCTTTGCTCTGTCACTTTCAGAGCCCTGACATCGAAAGCTCTCCGGAATAGTCTAAGGCGGCCGCACACCGAAGTTTCCGGTTCCACCGCCCACGGTCAGGCTGCCATCCAGGTCTAAGCTCCACAGATCTCGACAGCCCCAAACTGGCTCACTGAGGATACGACTTGGAACGGCACTGACTCGTGAGGGAGGACAGGGCCTCGGCTGCTCGCAGCGGCCCGGTGCCCCGTGGCAGACGACAGACGAAGCCCGGAAGCCGCCTTTGGCAGGCGACGCCAAGAAAATAGCTAAAGAACTATCAGGAGCAGCTCCAATTTCAGTCTTGGCATTTCTTGGCACACAGCCACAAGTGTCTGCATCAACTAATTCAGATTCAAAATGTCCTTCCAAGCCAATCTGAAAGAAAGAGTGGGGTTTCTCACTCATCTGGATGTCCACACGAACGTGCAGGCCGGTTGAAGGCCCGAAGGTTCTACCAAGATATCCGGATGTCCAAATCAAACATAGAACACCAAAAATTGAAGCGCATGCTACAAAGGCCTCCTCATAAACAGGCTGCACAACCAGTTTCTAAACGACATCTGGGCTTCTGCGGTCAAGACGGCTGGGATTCAACTCTCGGCTGCTCCACATTCCAAAAAGTGTTTGACCTACCGCTTCAGAGCAGCCTGCGACAAGCTTCCATTTGCCTGCAGCCTCCAGCGCCACAAGTGCCAGCAAGCAGCTCGCCAAATCTAATCCATTTGACCGTTCCAAGGCTTGTACCAAATACAATGCTTCAGGCCATTGCCTCTCAGGGAATGGAATGGCGTGGAGGACTCTGAGGAGGGGATGCAAAAAAGAACCACGGCTGGAAATGGCTCACCCTCTTCAACAGGATTCACTAGCATATGGCGGTATGATGAACAGAGAAGACATGATGATCATGATATGTGGGAAAGCATGCTCCGCTCACAAGGTTTCTTATTTCTTAGCCTTCAGAATCCCAATATATCCCAATCATCCTGCTGCCCACTGCCCCCGCCATCTCCACCTGGCCCTCCAACAAGCTGTGATGGCCGAGTTGTAACCAATCTCATCGGTGCTCATGGCAAGAGCTGGCATGGTACGCACAACTGCCACACTCCACTTCCAAGACCTGCCCCTCTCGCATGCAGCAACCATAGCATTGCAAATCACTTGTGTTGCAACTGTTGCAATGACCATATTGCCTCTGTTCTCCAAAGCAGCTTGCCAAAGACCAGAATGGCTCACAGCAGAAATCCGAACTGCTTCAGCAGGCGTACCCAGCAAGAGCCGAGTGAAGTGTGCACCTTTGATGAGGGACAGCGACCCTCTCCATGCACTTCCCTCTTCTAAGGCGCTTGTGGCTGCATTTGCGCTAACAGGATCTACCAGGACACTGACGTCGCGCATTCTGTGTAGAAGCCTCAGTGTGAAAGTCCATGGAGAGGCACCCATGACAATGGTATAACTCATCGGCTTCGTGTCTTCCAATTGGCTGAGAAAAAATGCAGAAAGCTCCCAGGAGTTGTGTTTCTGACACTTGGCCATTAATGCGTTGATCACTGCACGGTAGCCAGCTGACAATTGAAGAGCACCAGCCAAGGACATGGCCCGCTGCCAACTGGCGTCTGCCCGACAAGAGTGCACTGCAGCGCTTCGTGCAACGTCATTTCCCTGTAGAGCTTTTTGCTGCATGCTAAACATGCAAAACGTTGCTTTACGCCATTGCGTGGCATCGGCATAGGAGCTGATGGCTGTGCTGCAGGTCACCATGTCTATTCTCGTGGACCTCGTTGCAAAGATTGCAAGCAAGGAAGACCCCCGAATCCAGTCCTGCCGACGGCATGCGCTTAAAACTGTGTTGAAACTGCAGGCATCAAGCTTGATCTGCCTCAAGGTCATCCAGCCCACGGAATCCAATGCCAAACGCCATCGGGCAGCTTTGTCCAAAGCACTGAGAATCGAGTTCAAAAACGACGGCGCGATCGTCCAGCACGCGTGAAGCGATTGCAAGGCCTGGAGCGAATCCACAGCCCAAATCCATGAGGCTCTTCGTGACAAAGCCACCAGAGCCGTGCGAAGCATTGGATCTGGGCGGAGACCATGCGGAAAAAGGTGGCTCACCAGATGCAAGGCATAGAACCATTTCATAATACCATGGGGCAAACAACAGAAGCGGCAAACCCACTGTGCAAAGAGCCTCTTGCAGCAAAATGTTGCCAGGTCGTCGGCGCAGCAAGGGCTGTTCAGTAAGTGGGAGCAAGGGCGAGGGGGATCTCATGGTGTGCTCGGTTTTGGGGGGCTCCAGCAAGCAAGTGTGAGGCATTGTTGCAACATGCAATGCGCAACCGAGATAAGCTTGTGACAACCGACCACCAGCGCCCGGAGACCTGGATGAGGTTCTCGAACCCCTAGGAGCAGGCGGATTAGGAGGTCCAAGCGACTCGGATGCCGATTTTACCTCCCTAGCCTTGCATGCCTAATTTCTTAGACTCTTTGCTTTACAGGATTTGGGGTACATGCAACTAGCTGCTAACCATGTATTATTATTACAACTAAACAGAACATCAAAGACCTCGAGCTCAACCACAACCACACATTTTGATACATTTTGATGCATTCCAAGATAGTCCAAGGTATGAAGGGCTTTGTTCCGCCCTTGGGACCACACAAAGATCACCTCCGGTACCTCTGTCATGCCGCAAGGACTTATGTTTTTCTTGGTCCCTGGTGACGAGGTGCCCGGTGGATCTTCCAAAGCCATCAATAGCTGGCAAAGTGGCCTGGCCGGGACAAGGAGGCAAGCGGAAAACATCTGAAACCCCAAACATGGCAGGTGAACAGCGCCAGGCCTTTGCCCAAGGGCCAACGGGTGATTGCATGCAATGATCGACATCCCTGGACTCTGAGGCTCTTGCGGCGGTGGCGGTGGCGTGGACGCGCGAGGTGGCGTGTTCGACCGTGAGACGCTGGGCCTCATGCGTCATGCCCCATGAGACGCTTGGGCGCGTGTTGAAGCTGGGGCACGAACGTATTGCCAGGCGTACATGCAGGCGACCTGGAGTTCAATCTATGTCACCCAGGTCTTGGAGTTTTCCAATCGCCTGCCTCAGTGCCTTTCTCGGTCAGTGCCCGTTTGTCGGTCGGTTCTTGTCCCTTTCTCCTTCCCTCTCTTTCTTTCTTTTTCTTTCTTTCTGTCTGTCTCTCTCTCTCTCTCTATCCCTCCCTCCCTCCCTCTCTTCTCATCAGCAACGAGTTCGGCACACGCTTCGGCCTGACCTTGCCGGGCAGCCTTGGCACACTACATAAATAATATAAATATAAATCAATATAAAAGGCATACATGCGTGGCGTGCGCATATAGTGAGGTACATTACATGTGTTATCTGCCAAGGTGGACAGAATAGAATAAGAGTAAGAGAGCCATGCAGTGCAATCTCGCTACAATGCGGGCCTGATGTCAGGGCAGCCTGCCAAGTAAGTAGCAAGTGTTTGCAAACTTCTTCCGCTTGCTGGGAGAGGGCTGGGCCTGCAGGTCGAGCAAATCTCGCGAGCCAGGGATGGCCTTCAAACCTCAAATGACAGGACAGGCTTGTGATTGCGCATGAGTTCACATTCTTCCAAAAGAATCTCAGAACTATTATATACAGTAGTTGGCTTGCTTTCTTCTTAATTAGCCTCCTAAGGCCTACCCAGCCTACCCCTCCTCCCCCCAAAAGGTCATTTGTTAGATAGGTGTGCATGCTTTGTCATCGCTTCTTCCTTCTTTCTCTCTTGGATTCGGTGCCATTCTGTAGCTCCTGCATGGCCTCGCTCTGCCGGCCAAGCCTTGGCCGTTGGCTCAGTCATGTCTCGTTTGTTCGAGTCCGAAAGCGGCATCAGCGGAGAGTCCAGTGGCCATTGGGTCTCCGGCTCCCAAATGGCTTTGACCTCAGCCGCACCCCTTGAGAAAAACATGGCGGCCATGAGCCGTCAGAGTCACAATATGTGACAATGCAAGCTCACAGAGCATGTCAGGAGTCAGGCCAACAGCAACCAGCCCTTCACATAGTGTCGATTCAGCTGGATGCAATGCTGCGCATCCTGCGCATTCTTGGGTCTGGGAGGCTTGCTGAGCTCTTGCCTTCATCTACTGGAGCCCTATTTTTGAAGACTCGACACCAGCGCCTCCCGGCACTTGACCCAATCCTCCACCGCCTGCCAGGCGCACACTGGATATCAAGCTACGAGTACTGGATTCACGCCCATGGTATCTTTGTTTGGGTTTCGTCAAGGCCAATGGATTCAAGTCATTACATCTAAACACCTATCATACATATTTATAGCAGTATTATAACAATTCATTCTATATGCACATATGATATACAGTACATATGTTATATGTTCCCTGTATACCCCATCTTCGGAGTTGTGTTATCAGTTTTCTCAGCACAGCTTACATTGATTTGCCCCATGCCTTGTAGCAAAGGGCACGGTTCGCAAACCTTGGTCGTTTCACCAACTCCACGGAGACGGAGACCAAGCACTTCCGGAGACGGATGGCGAACACGTTGCGCCCAGGCGCAGCCGGTGGTCGTTGGGAAGAAACTGCAAAGCCTCGTTGGTGGGTGAGGCCACGGTGTCCAGTGGCAAAGGATCAAAGGATGATGTGTCAAGGAATGTTAAGGAAATGTCAAAACCGCAACGACTCCAACACCACGCCTTTCCGTACTCCACCATGGCTGACTGGTAAAGTTTTACAGATTCTTGCCTTGGAAGAGACAACGTGACCTCGTCTAATAATCACTGTCCAAATTGAGGCAACAACACACCCCTGAGGTTGGTAAAGGGGTCTGCATCCTTTCCCATTTCGCGAGCCTCACCGCCACAATTCGAGTGCGAGTTCAAACGCTCAGAAACCGCCCATTCAAGTGCATTCAATGCCCAAATTCGGCTGGAGTCAACGGAAACCACTCCAGGCCTTGCTGTACAATTCATTCCCCCGTCGCCGAAATACGTTGGACCTAGCGCAACAACTCACTGAGCTGGGAGTGGTCGGATCTACGCCGGCCTATCTAAAGCTGAAGTGGCCGCCTGCTCATCAAGATGGGCTGGTCAGGACTCTCATGAAGCACTTCAACACTCCACCCCCTCCCACCTCAAAGCCTTCTGGCAAGTAGCTGCCCGACATCGCAACGTTTGATAGATTTCAGTGCCTCAGGTCACAGGTCAGCTTGAAACAAAGCTAGAATTGTGCATTAGCAAGAGTGAAACCGAACGAAGCTTGGCCTAGGGCTACCTCCAGCCCATGATGCTGCTCACAAAGGCCACAAAATCAAACTTAAGCGGTTTGCCAGAGTTCTGGGTTGAAAGCTCTTTCTCCGCCGACTGTCTTTGATGTCCTGTGTACCGGTGCTTTTCTGTGGTTGATCTGCTCACCTCGAGCGTTGTTTCCTTTGATCAGGACAGCAGCAGTGTGGAGCAGTGCATGGAATGGTATTCTTGCAAATTCAAAAATTCACCCGTTTTTTGGCAAAAGTCTTTCTGGAGTTACACAGCATAAGTTGCAAAGGGCTCCATTTCCAACCGATCAGTCGTGAAACGGTGAGACGCTCAACCAAAATAAAGCCCATCAGCAATGATTCTGAACTCCCTCTCATGATGATTTTTTCTTCGAAGTCGCCTCACACGAGTGAAAAAGTGGGCACAGCTCGCTACTCGGCGTGTGCATTCAAAAAACCGTGTCTAGGGCTTCTACTCTACTACTTCGGTTAGAGCGCTTTTAAATCAGCAGGGGGGCGTAGCGTGTTCAAATGACTGCGCCCAATGAAGCTAGTCTGAGCACGGGATACCAGGATTGGCCATCCTGGCGTACCTGCAATGATTTTTAATACTCGCGTTTCGCCTTCGTCCCACCCATGTTAAACAATACTGTAGATGCAGACTCCTTCACCTTTCGGTTCAGCAGCCAAGGTCTAATCTGCAGTAAGCGTAAAGTGTGATGCTCACCGCGAACCACTGAAGCTTTTCCCACTGTGTGGTAAGCTGTGTGATCCCCACAGGGGCGCCGATACTGAGTCCTTACTCCTACACAGGGGTGAATTTTCAGCAAAGTCCTTTCTGGACCTCTTCTTGGCGCAGACTTCTCTTGCTTGAAAACAAATTTCAAGAATCTGTTTCACCCTGAATCCGGAATCTATGCTGCAGAGCTGCTGCAAGATGACACCTGAAATTGTTCGAATCGTTTCACACGTGAAAAACTTGAGTGTTTAACCTAATTGGCACGTTGCACAGTTGCACGGAAGTTTTTGTCATTTTTCTCTCTTTCCTCTTTCGTTTTTCTTGCTGTCTCTCTCTTCCTAGAGGCTTAGCTTGTTAGGTGTAACTCGGTTTCAGTTCACCAGTTCCTGCAGGATCCTAACTTGTCGGTAATTTGCCGTTCATTCGGCACCCTTGCTCGGAAGATTTCTGACTAACAGACTACGTGCACCTACTTTCACTCTTGCCCTCTTCCTTTGCTTTGCTTCTCCCTCCCTCTTTCGTTCTCAGGCTTGTTCGGTGGCTACTCAGGTGTTCAGCACGCTTCTAGCAGCGCCGCTTCGGCGCATTGTGTGTGTGTGT